TATACATAAACATATACATACACATATACATAATCTGTTATTATTTATATTAGAGCATAAAATATAGAAATTTTTTTGTTTTTCTCTCTTCCTTATATTTACTCAGTTTATTACATTATGAAATTCCAAATAAATATGAAAAAAAATGAGTAAAATTGAGAGTAATAGTTGCCATTAAATAGGCATATTTTTATGGTTATAACTTTATCCCACAAAAATATATTAATTTTTGAATTTTGGTTTTCTCTTTTTTTCTAGGCTCTTTAAATTTGTCGTTAAATGAACATTTAGCGTAATTTTAAATAACTTAAAATATCGTATTTCTTTGGGTAGAATGAGAATTAGAAATGTGGTTGGGTTGTGTTATTCGTTGAATGATGCCTAATTGTATGTGACAAGACAATATAAGCTGATATTTGTTCGTTGAGAAATTCAACATTGTCCTTAATTTTTTTTTTCTTTTTTGCTCTTATCATTCATATTGATTCAGTTTATTAAAGCAATCGTTGTGAGCAAAGCATCCATAAATTTGCTTATTTATGGATAATAAAAGAAAAAAATATGCTAAATATTAGCAAATATTTTTTTCATTGCAGTTGATTTCAATTTTCTCATTATTTATTGCTACATTCTCATGGTTTTCACCTCCAAGCGCCGGAATTTCTCCCAATCCTGTGGCGGACCATCATCAAGTATGTTTATCAGTATGATAAAATCGAAATTATGCAATGTTTTAACAATTTTAAAAGAAATTTAGTTTTTAGAAGATTATGATGTCTCGGAAATACTTGTTTATAATATATTCTTAACTACTTTTTTTAGTATACACTTGCCGTATTTTTTGTTGGTATAACGAGCATTTCAATATTTTTGTTATCGGCACTCGGAATTGTGTCATTAGTATTGTGTAGCTCATTTTGTATGTTTTTGGTAAGTATATTTCTAAATTTATCAAGTTTATTTTAGGCTTTTCATTAGTCTCAAGCTAATAAATTTTCGAAGTTATTTTTTTTTATATGTAAAAAGCTATCGCATTTCAGTAACGCTGAAAGTATCACTTTTAAACTCCAAGCAACCATGATAATAGTAGAAAATAAGAAATGGATTATGGATAATATTTCGGTGAAGAATGAATTACAATGAATTACAATTTTTACCATTAAATGCTATTTAAATTTTATATAATTTTAATTTTTTTTAATGTAAACATAATCCTGCATTATTCATATAAATTATTTCATTTTCAGTACATTGTAATGTTATTGTTGCAAATATCTGTTCAGTTTATTCTTTCAGCTTTTGCTTTTGCCAATCAACATAAGGTATATTTTTATGAAATTATTGCAAATAAAATTAAAATAAAAGAACGTGCATGGCATATTTTTTGAAATCGTTGCTTATTATTGCCCACTCGGTAACTGATTAAATGAAATGATTTGATTGTCAATTATTGATTGTTTTAAAAATTGCGCAGTTATACTTGTCTATAAATGCTAATCCTGACTGTTAGACTCTAAAGCTGCAATTTTTTTTTTCAGATATTTTAATTTTTTTTTTCTAAACATTTCAGATACATGAAACAATAATAGCTCAATGGCATTCACAATCAATGGGAAAGATTAGTAATGATTGTGGTAATGATGCTGTTTGCAGTAAACATTTAGAATTGTTTAATCAAGTTGAACGAATCATTTTCATATTACTATTGGTATTTTTTTCATTTCAGGTGAATTGTTATTTTCAACGATAAATAAAATATCTAGCATGCTCTTTCATCCATCCATGCTCTTTTAATTTTTGTACTTCAGGAAGATGGCTATTAATGAGGAGCCATTGAGATATGAAAAGTACATCATAAATAATTGCTTATAATTGCTTTTTTTCTGTTTACAAAAATCTAAAAAAGAAATCGAAAAATCTCTCTCATTAACATACATGCATAATTATTGAGTGTATTTAAATAGCACTGTTTGATAATTAATATTACGAGCTTTTTGTTTTACATCACTATTATCAGTTATTAAGATAAGCTATGTATTAATTGATTGAATGGCAATTAATCAAATTTTTTACAGCACATCAGCATAAAGTAAAACACTTGAATGAATGAAATTTTTACAGGTATTACTATTGTTTATCAGTTGTTGCTACTGTAATTATTTATCAGAAAGGGAACAATGCGAAACGATTGAGAGGGATAACGCTAACAGCAATTAATCATATATTTGATGCGAGCTATCATTCATTGCTGTTTAACACTTTTAAATTCGCTCAATTTGGCCAATGCTATAAACGTTTACTTTTTTTAAATTAAGTTTTCTCAAATGGAAGAGAATAATTGAAAGGTTGATAATTTCAACAGCGATTTAGCGGAAGGATTAAATGTGCGGGAAAAAAAAAAGGAAAGAAGGTAATGGTTATAACTGTTGCGGCAAATATTATTCAAATATCACATTTTTTTTTCGTATTAAAAATTTTTGTTGAGAAATTATTTTGATGTAGAAAATATTTAAGGAATTTAATCAATGTAGAAATTATATTTACATTTCTATGCCGTTCGATACATACTATGAAATAGTAATTAATATACCTGTTCATCACATATTTTTAAATATGTTTTCAGTGAAATTTCGACTGTTACTATGTTTATACATAACGTCACAATGTTAGCATTTAGCTCTGTATAAGTAAATTTCATTTGAGAAATGAAAAATCAATCTTTTCTTTTCTTTTATTTTTTTTTTCTTTGTGAAAAACTGCATGGTTTTTGCCAAACATTAAAAATAGCTTTATGCTGTTTGATACATGCTATGAAATAGTAATTGAATTTGTACGAGAAATGAGTATAACAGTTTAATAGTTGAAGTGACGTAACGTTTATATTGGAAAAGTTGTATTTGCAATAAAGCCTGATATTGGGATAAATTTTCGAATGGAACTGTTTTTTTTTTTTTTGAGAAAAACTATCACTCCAAGAACTTCTGGTGGTTATATGCAGAGGTGCTAATTAAATTGAATGATATCCCATAATCATTTTTAGTCATTTCAAACCTCTTCCTATCTGTGGGAAAACTTCTACGATTTTGTTCGATTTGAAATTATGGATCAAAAGTAGCAGTCAGTATATTTTATATTTTTCAAATGTTCCACTGGACTGTACGACTAACCATATAGAGTATAACTGTTAATAACTTGAATATATTATTTTTAATAAAAATTTTAACAAAATAAATAGAACAGGTGGTAGGAATACTGCAAAAATGATAAATACAAATAAAGTAATAGGATAAGAAAAATACGTGATGATGTTGGACTAAGAAATGAGCTGATTATTTATGAATATTATCTAGGAATTAGATTTTAATTTCGATATTGCTGAAGTACTTCAAGATTAACATAATGCAGCTATATTGAAGAGTAAAGATCCTGTTTGCATTAATAAATTCTATAATAAGGACTTCAAAATTACCAATAATAATTATAATTAGCATAAAAATTCACTAAAAAATAGACAAACTATTAATTAGCATTGAGTGGTATATTATTGATCAAAACATTTTCATCAATTTCATCATCGATTCTTTCGACACGCCATATTTGCTCTAATTCTGTTTTCTAGAAGAAAAAATAAAGCATAAATGTGACAAAAATATAATGGACGGAAGAGAAAAGAAGAGAAATTATATTTTAAAAAAGTAAAAAATTCAAAATGGATGATGATTTAAATATTTTTGCAAACTTACTTTTCCTAAATAGTGAAAATATTTCCAACAGAGCCATATGATTATAACACAGTAATAATGTGTTACGCAAAAGATAGCACTTCCCATCGCAAATATAAAAAAACGGCCTAAAATATTAAAAGTTCAATGAGATCGATAAAAGGTCATTTACTGTTAGAGGAATAATTTATGATATGCGCACTTAAATATTGTCATATTTAGTCACGATGTTTTTTTTTTTCATTTATTGTATTACTGGTCTTAATCATAAGAGCAAAGTAATAGAAATTATATTTTATTGCAAAGAATATGCCAGTTATGTTCATAAATAATCATAGGTAAACAAAAGTTATTGGAAATTAATAGGTAATATAATGAAAATTAAAGTAGATGACTTTAGAAGAGGTAATGAGTTTTTGACTTAATGATAATTGTTTAAAATTTGGTGAAAAAATAGCACTTACCGCTTGGGCATGCATCGATAAGAAAACAATGAAATTCAATAAGATTCGAAAAAGCGAATGCTAACACCATCATTATGCCTAACAGTATCTAAAATATCAAACTTTTTTGCTAAAAAATTAGAAATACTGATGGAAATTGAAAAATATTTTATTTAAATTTCAATTATCCTTTATTTGATTCCAATTTTATTTTATTTAATATATCTCAATGAAAAGTAACGTTTTCTCGTGGATACGGGAATTATTGACCTGAATAATCATCAATGGCAACAAGCATAATGACGACTCTTTCCACATTCCATACTGTGCCAACAGTATTGCAAACAGTATTGTTGCACTTGCGGCAGTTGCATGTGTGGCAGAAGATGAATCAATCTCACTTATAACAATAAAATCAGCAACAGCTAATGAAAGTATGTAAAATACAGTTAACATTGTTGCTGATGTCTGAAAATTTTCATTTCATTCAAATTTTTAGAAATTCATAACTGATTTCATTCTAGTCTGATTTTCTTCATGTAACCAAAATTGATTTAGATGTTGCTATTACAATAAGAAATTTCAGTTCTGATTAAATTTGATTAGAATAGATGGTTATCCTAAATAATATCTTTGTCATTAAATAAGCATGAAGTTAACGAGACGTGTCAAATTGATACTGTCAACTTTTTGGTTAAGATATCTTTTGATAGTTAGCTATTATTCAACCAGCTACATTTAAGCAAACATATATTTGAATATGAAGTACAATTAGGTAATATTTCATAATTTATATATCAAAAAAAAAAAAATTTGAATGTAGTTGGTTGTTTTTTTAATATAGAATGTATTAAAAAAAATTTCTGTTGTAAGTTCGGTTTCAATATAATTTCTAATAAAATAATACCTTGATGTGAATAGTACCAAAGAAAGTATAACTATTGTATAATTTATAATTGGCAAGCTGTTTAGCTGGATGATTATCTCCTTCCACATCGTCGTTTGGAGAGCCTGATGATCGCACATACTTCGTAATTTCGACCAATGGTTGATTTTTCCGTTGAGCTTGCAGAATAGGCGGCTAAATAAAATATACTCATTGGAGTAAGCATTTTAATTTCTTATTGAATTAAAAAATCAAAATTAAATGCGAACCCTTCTGCTAATGAGCGTTTTCTCACTTATTGTTGACATATTTGGTGTTTCACATGCGATTCTAAATACGATCAATTTGACTTATTTACATATTATTAATTTTAATTTGTTTTAACAAACATTATTAATGTAATAATTTGATTAGTATTTTATCAAGCTAAATTATGCATTAAATATTTAATTGATCCGTGAGCGAAAAATTATCGATGTCTTGAAATTTAACACAAAATCGAAATTAAATATAATTAATAATTCAAGTAGCATAGTAGTCTGTTAAAATGTACCTGTAACTTAAAAATAAATTAAATTTTTGATTTTAAATAAAGTTAATTCAAAAAATTTTAGTCATTCACAGCCGTTTGCAAAAATATTTTCTTATACGTTATTAAAAGTTTGTATTATTTTGGATTTAGTTGTTTACGCTTTTATATTCAAGACAGATTAATGGAATTTTTTGATCATTCATGTCATCTCGTAGTGACGATAATGCATGTGATATACAACCTCGTATGATGACTCTCTTCTTGAAATTCTTTATTTAAAAACCTAAAATTTTGCAGAATATCGTCGTGAGCGTCCACCTGCGAAATAACATTGGTAAATTCTTTCTTCAAACCTTCCATTGTTCTGATATAAATTTACCTGAAAATTTCATAATTAAAATATTCATTTCAAATAGTGAACACATCCTACACTGAATAATTATCATTTCTAATGCGAACAAGCCTAGAAGTGTGAAAAAAAAACTTGATCATACCGAAATTTATGGAAAATGTAATAATTGAATAAGAATAGAAAAAAAAAGGTTTGTCTTTTATATTGACATCGTAAAGTTTAGTATTTTTGACAAGTTGAAACATTTAAAAGACCATCACAAAAGACGATAATTACCCTGTAAAAGTTTATTAATCGCAAGAATATCATTTGGATAAAATAATATTGAATAAGATATTTTACTTTTGATAATCTCTAAAGCGCCAAATAGAATTTCCAGAGCTTTCTAAATCCGCCAAAAATCTTTAAGTAATAAATCGAGAGATATCTCAGACATACACACAACATTAAGACTTTTACTATTTCAAGTACAATTATTATCTAAACATATCGTTTAAAAAAAAAATTCTGAGTTTTAAGTTAGTCTAATTTAAAACTCAAAATTTTTAATAAGACAGTCTGTAATCTGAATTCTTTTTTTTATTATCCTAATCGGGGATTTTGTTAGGGAAATCTTTTCTTGGATGTGATCGAATGTGTTATTGTAAAGGAGTTTATTTTATATGAATTTTATTCATTAACAATTACGGTGCACAAAAGTGATAATGTATGAGTATGAGATAAAGCAGAAGAAAAATAAGAATGCAAGAAATGAGCGAACAGTTTGAAAGAATAAAAAAATTTTCACTTAGTGAGACCGTTTAAACATTCCAAACATTGGATGGGCATGAAAATCTGATGGGAACATCTTGCGGTATTCGAGATATAAGCTTGATGATTGAATGGGAAAATGAAAATTAGATAACATGATCCATTTCCCTAGATAGTGTAACATTGAATTCATTTTTTAGACGATGAATCATGATGAAATATACGACTTTGATTATTTGGATAAATTAATTTTTGTAAATTATCACGATTTTTTCGACATTTATTTATACAAGAAGCAATTTATTAATTTCTATTTTTTTTTTTTTGCTAATTTCTAACTACTATCATATTACGACAATCTTAAAATTATTTAGTTGAAATCATACATTTTGATTCTATTAGTATCAATTTTTTTAATATTTGCTGTACAAAATTTTTAGAAACCGATTGAATAAAAATTACATTAGGAAAGTTTTTAGAAATTCTGAAAATTTTTGATAATAATTGTACTAGAAGAAGAAAAAGTAAATTTATATTTTTATGAGATATTTTACATATGTAAAAGTCTCACTAATAATATCAGTAATGTAATTTAAATTTTAATAGGTTTAGAAGTAAATAAATGATTCAATGATACTTATTGAGCTAAGATAATCCATATGGCTATTGTTGTTAATACAATATTGATTACTTTCCTCGGATTATTTTTGATTTGCATACATATGAGTAGTAGTAGGTCATGATCAAACTTGACCATCGCTCATAACTTCACTATTTCCCATTACAATTATTCAACACAGAATCAAACCCTGGCCGTATTCTTCATTTCTTGCATAACATATATCTTTCGAAAAATTTTCCTTAGTTTGTGAAAATTAATTTTTTCTAAAACTTCATTTATTTCAAAGATTATTTTCTGGATTTTGTTTTTTTTTTTTTTGGTCAGAGATTTTTAACCATTATAAGTGAAAAGGATAATTTTAGAAATGTCCAGTTCTGATACTAAATAGAACATTTTCCCATATTTCAGCTGTTTATTTATTATCGATATTAAATTCATCGGGAATGTTTTAATTTAATCGAAATATGTTGCAGGATGGGAATTATTTTTTAACAATGAATATTTTAGATTTATTACAAAAATATGCATCGTATTACTGTACTCTTATCACTGATGATTGTTTTGTCATTTATTAACACGACAATATCAAAAACTTCTTTGGGGCAATGGGAAGACAATGAGACGATGAAATTACGATCTTCGTATGTAACGACAGTTACCTCATCACTATCCTCCACCGCGAGGAATACTTTAGAAACGAAATATTTGCCAGAAAGTAAATTGGTGCAAAATTTACTGCACGGTTTCTATTTTTCATTCTTGTGATCAAGAAAAAATATATTTAGGTTATCAAGTTATACATCTAAGATCAACTACTTTTCTTCTTTACTCATTACCAAAAAAAAACCTTTATCATAAATTTTTTCATGCAAGAAATGGGAAAACTTCCGGAAAACTAGAAATGTATCTGCTGTAGAATAAAACACGAAGTTTGAAGTTATAGTAGAAGTAACTTATCAGGTTGTAAGGGAAATTTTTACTTCCAGGCGCTTATATGAATGGTTTTGATCTGTTCGATTTCTTAGGAAGTTTGCAGCCATCAGATTGCTTGCAAATTTGTTTCGATGAAGTTGCTAGTATGTTAGAACAACCGTTTGCTGGACAACATTCTGTTGATGAAGTTGGCAACATTTGTAGGTAAGTAATTACCGATGGAAAACATTTCATTACTTAGGTTTCTAATCTACATCTGTATCACGCTAACAATTAGTGTGATACAGATTTAGATTTATATACAGATTCAAGATTGAACGTGCAGATTCAATGCAGATTGAACGTGATGTGGAAAATATGAATGTCTTATATGATTCATTCGTGCCTTTCATCACAATTTTTAATACTATTTACAGCCATTTCGATATATTCCAGCGATGTCTTCATCATAATGCAAGTTGCAAGGATGCATTGCTTGATGTTACAACAACAATCATCGATTATCTCTGTACCTTCAATCAGGATGGTTTGTTAAATTTATTTTAATTAAAAAAAGTATTTTATTTGTAAGAGAGTTAATAATAGACTGTTGTTAAAATGTAGCATTTATCATTTATTGCTACATCTTTTTCAAATGAAGCAGATTGAATTGTCCAAATTGAATTTCATACAATCTTTATTTACATAATTGAGATGGTAACACTAACTTTATGAAGTCATTATTTGATTATTTGTTTTGTAGAATTTGAAGATTTATTTCCGTGTCTGTATGGCCATTCAGCAGTTATTTATCTCACCTGCGATAATCAGTGCAAGATGGGGGAAATTCTTTCTAAGGCATCAAAGAAGAAGAAAGATGATGTAACAAATATACTCGATAGTAATGGAAATAAGCTCCTTCAGGTGCCCAATCTTTACAATTTGTGCAGGTATCATTATTATTTGTTTAGAACTCTCAAATTAAAATTCTTGCATCTCTATAGTGAATAATTGAATTTAATTTTATTTGATAATATTTTTGAAAAATAAAGTTGATATTTGTAGCGCATCGGCATGTTTTATTAATTGCACGCAGAATTTAGCTGAGAAGGAGTGTTCAATCGGTCATTCAACCTTATTGGTTAGTTGTTAGAGGATTTTTTTTGTGATTATATTTAAGTATCCAAAGACCTGATTATCTGAAAGGAAATGATATTCCCTGAAATATTTAAAGCTCAGAAGTGAGAGGAAAATGGTGCTGCTCAAAGTATTAATATAATAGAATGTCGGATGATATGTTTGGCTGGAAAAAATAAACTGCCTGATTAAATTACAAATATCGAGTGCTGCTAACGTGACCAAATGACATTTCTGTAAATAAAATTTTCATTGTTGAAAAAATTTCAATATTTCATAAGATTTTTTATTAATTTATACTGCAGCATAAGATAGTGGCAGCGGTGGTAAATCATACGATAAAAATAATTCCAACTCCAGCGATGAAATCGAATGATGCTTACACTTTGCTCGTATCTTCCATTTTACCAAATGAATGTCAACGATTGAAGCTTCTTCCACAGGTTATCATGAATATTTTATAAAATCTATCAGTATAAATTATCAAAAGTAAGTCTTTTTTATTTCAGGACTTAGTACTTACTACGCCAATGACAGATTTTATCGATGGTGTGAAATACGAGAGTACTAACAGTGTTATACAACAAAAGGCAATTTTGATAATTTCATTTTATCCAATATTATATTGTGTCAGAAGTAAACGATCTTAATTTCTTCTTGTAAACTTCATTTTAATTGACACTATTGGATGAATCTATTTCAGACTGCTAATTCTGAAGAAAATGATGCAATCCGAACAATCCTGAACAATTATGTGGAAAATCAGACAAATTCGGTTTATATGCAAATATTATCCTTGAATGGGCGTCAAATGAAGTTGCAGTGTCAGATGATTGATCTAGAAACTGGACAAGAGGCTACCGTTGCAGATATCGCGAGATTAATGACCACCGAAGCAAAGGTAAGTTGTGACTCTAATCTTGCAGTTCATATCGGCTTATAGAATTTCTTAATAAAGCATTGTATGATGAAATTGCAGAATATCTTGAATGAATTTGGTTTACGAAGTGCAGAGGACGAGCAAATCTTAGCGAATAAAGCAAGGTATGACAATAGGTCAGGATTACAGGATCATAAGGCTATTGGCAGTAAAAGTAAGTGATAATCTACATAAATTTCAATTCGTTATGATAACTGAACAATACAATAATGTTCATATGCATGGGATTTTTATACGCATATGTATAAAATAGTCAATATGTTTCGATTCAAATTTAATATTTCGTTATTTTCTCAACAAACACAAATATCTCTACACTTTGACATAAACTAGTTGACAGGCAGTTGCTGTTTTCGTGTTCAGAACAGATTTTGCCAAATCTTAGATATCACTGCTTATAGAAGATCTGACTTAGATATTCAAAATTAATTTTTTCCTCGGATTAAATTACTGAAAATATTTTGCTAATTGATATTGTACATGTCTCTATGGAAAAAATTAAATAAACAATTTAGATGAGAAACTGAATTTCAGGTGAAATGTATGCAAAAGCATCATCTGATCGCTTATTTCCTTCAGGTGTTCTCACTCTTCTACTTATGCTACTCTTTTAATACTACTATTTGACCTTCTGCTATATATCATCCTAAATTCAGATACATTAAATGTATGCATATGAATATAAGTTGAACTGTAAGTAACAAATCAACAGAATTCAATTAACTCTTTGTGTTCCACTGTATGATATATGTGATTATTTTAGTATATTTGTATGAACAATGATCAAGAGAGCTATTTGTTGAAAATTTATTCATGAATATATACTTCGATTAAAAAATTTTACTTATCTTTGTCTTCGTCTACACTCTTTCTTACATTACTCTAAATGGTACCAGTATGGCACTTCTCGATAGTCGTCCTATCGGGCTGACATTTTCATATTACACTTCTCCTCCCATTAAAACAAGAAGTGATAACTTAAATCTCGAGTAGTGAATGACACTTTGGCATTTGTTGACAAATTTGAACTATCGATGTCATACCGAATATTTCTAGACCAATGTTTGCATTTTGCATCATAAAAATTGCAGTACATATCATTTTTATAGGTAGAAGACTGATGGAAAAGATTTTGTAATATTGCCGAAGTTTTTTCTTAAAGTTAACTTGAACATTGACGAGAATGACATAATCGAATGGTCATTTCGACATTACATGTAATAACACCGATTGATCGAACCATTCACCAACAGTTCTAGATTGTTCGACTTGCGTGGAATACGTCAAGAGGATGATTTCAGTCTCGTAGCGAAAGCAAAAAGAAATTGAATAGTCTGAACCATTTTTGAATTTAATGGTTTGGCGGCAGGCCGCGAAATAAAGATCGGCCTGAGTAAATAAAAGTTATGGGATGGACGTTACGTGTGTTGGCTTTGAAGTCCTCTGGATCCTGATATGTCCCGTTTGAGGCTAATTGTATAATGTGAGATACGTAATTGTTTGTTTTTATTATCTGCTTTTTAAGCTGACGATGGAATTACGACACGTGAATTTGCAAAAAAAAACATGTATACAAGAGTATCCAGGAAAAAAATGAATTAGGCATTCCACAGGAGTTTAAATCATTGCTAACATTATGCAAATTAATGAGCATTTCTATTAACTCAGTGTGGATTTGCTGGTTTCTTTCTCAATTGTGCTGGTTTCTTTTCTTTCAACGTTTAAGTTGTAATAAATTTCAAATAACTCAAATAACCGAACATTTTCGTGAAAGGAATTGTGGAGAATCGGTCGGTTGCGAAGTTCTCTGGTTCGTGCTATTTTATATTTCTTTTGTGGAATATATCTTATTCTTTGTCTCTATTTTTTATTCTGCGCTTCTTTGCACTGTATCCAAAATTTTAATTTAATTAACTGAAAAGTAACATGGTGTGTGGAATTGCTGATTTCTTTATCATTCTCATATTTTGCCTTTCCATTTCAGTGCCTTCGGATTATAAATGGCTTCGGTACAACAAAATTATGACGAAGATCTGATAATTTTGGAAGAGAATAATGATAATGCTATAGTTCCTAACGAACAAAGCAGTCATCGAGTTATATTGGAAAGCCATTCATTTATTGAAACGGAAGGGGCTGCGGATTTTGTAAGTTACTTCCCTAAGGCTAGAGCTCCCAACATTATTTAACCGATAAATTATTAGTGTTTAGATTTTCAAGTATTTCGATGTGGAATGTAAAAAAAAAAAACAATTATATTATCATATGTCGAAAATTTAGTGAAAAACGGCATTATTTCATTTTTTGGGACTGAATCTTTTTAGAATCAAGAATCTGAGCAATCACATTATCGAGTATCACGCGTCATTTTGAGTAGTGACGAAGAGGATGATGATGATAATGTGAATAAGAAACGTCGTCGTAGACCTTCTCATAGCAATGGCAATGGAGGTCATATTTGTTTTGAATTCAAAGTTTTAATTGTCCATTGTGTAACTTTTAATGACGATGGCAAAACACTGATTTCATCTATGATTCCACTTGCTAGAAAAGCTCTCCTCTTAGTTTGCAAGTTGGTTTTGTGAGAATTAGTGAAATTAGTCCGTACATATATGTATATTTTAGAGACTGATGGTGATGAAACGAGCAATTGTTCCATTTGTTTTGAAGCATATACAATTTCAGGTTCTCACAGGCAAGCCTAGAAGGTTTTTTAAATATAAATGACGTTCATTAAAACTTGATTTTTTCACTCAAGACAGATTATTTTACGACTATTGAGAATATCATTCACAATAAGTTTTAGAGTAGTATGTTTGAAGTGTGGGCACTTGTTCGGGGAATCGTGTATTGAGAGATGGATTCGAACGGAAAGAGCTGCCAGATGTCCGCAGTGTAAGGCCAAAGCACGACTTGTTGACATACGCCGCTTATATGTACGGGCTATAAAGGTAATTAACATCCTTCAGACATTTCTCCTCACTTGAAGTTTCAAAGCAATTCAGCTTCATATTTCGGTTGAGTTTGGAAATTTATTCATTATGGAATGGAAAATAAGCAGATGAATTCTAAATAAGCCGTTTTATTTGCTTGTTCTGTAGTGTGCCTAATAGGATAACAGAAAATTGCTTTTTACGGTTTGAATGGCGATAGGAGCATTAGAAGGATGAGTGGTACCATCGCGATGATCAAAAGCGAAATTACAGGCACTTGACACAACAGAACTGGAATGTTTAAAAGAGGCGAATAGCGTATACAAGGCTGAAAATGATAGTTTGCGTCTCGAAAATCAGCGTTTAAAGGAAACAATTGTAAAAGAAGAGAAATGTAATACATACAAAGCTGAGATTGAAAGATTAAACTTTGAAAATGCACAGTTGAGGGCAATAATAGCCCTTCAGGAGAAGCGTGAAAATAAATCGCAGTAGGTGTTACGTTTTTATGTTTTTTTTTTTTTATGCAGACTTGTGTTGTGACGATAATAATAGTTCTGACACTGACTTTTTTGACACGTTGCAACTTAAATGTTACAACAGTTAACTTATTTGCTCTCTGACATAATTCAAAGGTCTCATTTCTTAGTTAAATAAGGAAATCATGGAAATTTTTTTTTGCTCTTTCGATGAACAACTAAGGTTATGACACTAATATGCTTCAGGAGAATGCCTCTTGTTGCTAAAATGGTAAAAGGTGCTTATTTTTCATTGCTAACTGGGCCAGTTATTCATTTATCATCGGAACCAGGTTCTCGATCGATAGATACAAATGGCGACTGTCTTGTGGTAGCTTGTAAAGTTAGGAACGATCTATTTATGCCTTATGGATTGAAATTGGTCATTTATTACTTTATTTGAATTGTTTTTACTTATTATTAATGTAATGAGCGTGGCACAAACTTTCTCGATTTTTTTTGTTCCTTACTCTTCTGAGCAATATTTTCACTCTTTAACACAATGAGGTCAATCACCCCATGCAAAAAAATTATGGCTTTATAGATTGCATTAATAACTTCCACATTCCTCCCACCATCGTTCTTACGGTATTTATCGTTAATTGCTTAACTAAGTGTTCAACTGTAGCTTATTTCATTATTACAGATCACAGCTGATCGTCGTGAACACACTGTGATTCCAGTCCATAATAGGAAACCGCGATGCTGCAGATTCTCACCTTTTAATCCTGAAATAGTGATATCGACTGGAGAAGACAATACACTTTGTGTTACGAGGTTTGTTGATTGTACTGACTGGGTGGAATAAGCGAAGTAAATCAGAATTCTGAATAGTTTCGAAGAAACTGTTATAGGTTTTTTCAAAACTTCAAAACTGTTATAGGTTTCTTCAAAACTTCAAAACTGTTATAAGTTTCTTCAAAACTATAGATAGAAGATGAGGAATAGTCATTAATTATTAACATAAAGTTAATTTTCAGCTTCAGTAGTCTTCCAAGAGTCCAACATCGCATTCCCCTACCTGCTTCCGGTTGGTGTTGTTGCTGGTTGAGCGAGGATGATGTGGCAGTTGGTCTAATTAATGGTGAATTTCAAAAGACCGTGCGAGATTTTTCCATTACATTAATCTTTTAGTTCTTGTTCATTATTTTAAATTACCTTCTTTTAATTACTAAGTGCTATATCAACTTTTTTGATTTCCTTATATATTTCAGGTAGGGTTTTAAAATTCAATCTCAAAGATCCAGCAATTGAACCGTTTGATATAACTTGCAACAATGGCCGTTTACCTATCATAAATTTACAGTTTTGTGTAAGACGATCTTCACTTTTCGTTACGTCGTTGAAAGAATGTGTGCTCTATCATCATATGCAACCACACGTTTTGATATCTGATGAGGGTGAGTTTTTTATTCTTTTTAAGGTATGTTTATGAATATGGTGGTAGCTTTTAGTAGTTTAATTTCACATCAGTTTCAGGTTCTATAAATTCGTTTTGCTATGATGAAGAAAGTAGCAATGTGATGGTAACATTTGCTCCAAGTCAGCATCATGAAACAGTGACTCATACTTTATACTCTTTGGATATAGATAGCGAGCAGAAAGAACTGCGTTATATGCATGCCTACAAAAGTTTTTCAAAAAAACTTACACGTGTAATCAGAAGTGCATTTTGGACTACGTCTCACGGCCAACTTTCCGCTGTTTATGATGAGTCTAATTCGCATGTGGTAAATAATATTTTGCAACTTTTTCTGTTGCTTATAATTTCCAGAAAGCAATTCTGAAAGAGAACTTATGATCATGTAGTTATTTTGTAACTCTGAATCTTTTACATTGTGCTTGATGCTAGCTTTATGATTTTCGTCTAATATGGAAATATATAAAAAAGTAATACAGTCCAATTTTAAGGTTCTTTATGACTGGATGCGCAAATGTCCGGCGGTTGTGAAACGTATTAACGATATGGTTGTTGATATCAAAGAAATTGTATCGAGTGATGTGCAAGATTTTCAATTGGGGTGCTTAAGTGAAACGGCAATTTACTTCCTGGAAGCACGATATTAAATTTCTTTCTGATCACTCACTCGTAACAGTTTGTATAATATGAAGTAGATTCCATAAATCCTGATAGTCTTGATGTGTTTCAGCGAATCTCTTCATTAGCATCTGCAATTATGGATGAGAGTGATAAATTGTGTTAAGCTTCACTGCAAAATTAAATATATTGTGTTACATGCTTAAAGCAGCAAAAAATTCTTTCACTTTTTCTTCTTTCTTGATTTAAGATTGTGGATAAGTAGGAAAGATATATGATAACAGTTGTCTATCGTTCTTATACTTTTTGTTGTACATATCATTTCATAATGTCCGCATTCTTGATAGTGCTTAGTAGTACAGTGCTGATTTTTCTGTACGATTTCCATGAAAGTTTGTCTCATCAAGTATATTTTTAGCTTTTCTCGAATATTTCGAGAATCATATTGCCACCACACTAGGGAATTTACATTTTGGAGTTGTCCATAGAATTAAGATTTCTATGTTCCTTTTATTTTATATGGGTAAAAATTTTTCTGCACAAATCCACATTTCTGACGTTATTTTTATATATTCTGTAGCAGTAAATTTATATTGATTTTAACGTATTGTTTAGATGCATTAAATAAATACACATTAACGGAAATAGCTAAAAGCAATTATCGTGCCATCCACAATATCCTATGAACATTCCCAACAGTAACATGGTCCCATGGAAATGATGTTCTGAAGTGGTTCATCTCAACTATTTTACTGAACATATTTGCAACTATGCAAACTGTCAATAATTGATTTGGAAACATGAATATTTTTGTTCTTAAACTTTTGGAATTAACGCGAATTGAATAGGTCAAGTAAGGAGAGGGAAAGCGATAAACTATGTATGTATGCGATAATGACACTTAAGACTATATGGTTAGTCGATGATAGGAAAAGAAATGAGTTAGAAATGGCACCTTAGCTGGAAAAGCTGCTTCCTCCTTTTTTTTACATTCTTTACCCGGTCTCCTCGGCAACAGCTGTCTTACTTTAATTGCTTTTGCACATAAAATTTTCACCTTTTGCAGCCTTTTTTGTATTTTCTTTTTATTGATAACATTATGTTTAATTTCATTGCATATTTTCCAATAAATCGACTGTATGTCATTTTCAGATTTATATTTTCCGGCTCATCTATTACAAAAAGGCTTCCTGATTTTGCTGATTTATGATTGTTGATCTATGATCACCAACTTTTAAACAGTGGCATAAATTTATCATTTCAGGAGCTCGATAGTAATTATTCGAATTGATATTATAGTATACTGGAAAATTTAGCCAAAGAAGCTTCTTCTAATGTGGTTAGAACGAATAAAGTGATAGTGCACTATGCGAATTTGAAATTAAAAATCGAGAAAAAAATAAAGCAAAATAATAAAGGTTGGATTGTTTTCACTGCAACAAATGTTTGCATAAATTTGACTTAGCATTATTTTAGTTAACTGAGCCTAACGCTGTCATGATTAAAAATTAAGTGCCATAACTTTGATTAAAGTTTAGACTCTTGAAATAATAACATCACTAAATGAAGGAGCAGGAAAACTTCTTTTCAATTAACTATGTGATTCTTAAATTCTCATTACTGATATGTTTAAAAAGAATGTCAACTGAAATCATTTTAGATCTTTCGATGACTACAATTACGTGGGACACATAACGCTCAATGAAGACAGCCAGTTGATTATTTCTTTCTTTTGTTCTTTCTCTCCGTTTCAATAATAATTTATTCGATGGGACAACTGAAGAGTAAAATTTTACACCAAACTGGAGCACAAGATACTGATAATCTGAAAGAGGATCCTGACGATCAGTGGTCTAATTTATATCGTGAACGTAAAAAGAATCACCTTTATAAATGGGTTGGCATACGTTGCGGTAAGTATTTTCGAATGGTAATACGTTATTTCGTATCTTAACATTCGTCATCGGAGTTCCTCAGTTTTGTAATCACTTTTTTATTATCGTAATAAGGTTAGTTTAGACATGTATGAATTTGATTTACATTGTAAGCTATTTTGAGGTGAAATTGTGAAATGTACTCAATGAGAGAATCGTACACTTTTTTGAATTATGAATTGCATCCTTAGTTTAACAAAATAAGCTACCAAATTTTTGAGCCAAAAAATCTCTATTTTACGCTATTCAAGAAATTGGTGAGTTATAGGTGGCGAACTGCTAGCTGCTTTTGAAAAGGAGGGTGAAGATGGAGTTCTAAAGTTTGCCAACGAGAAGCTTATTTCAATGATGTATGAAGATGGTGCATCACCGCAAATGATTCGTTTTACAGACTATGCAAAGTGGAAAAAGACAACCGTGCGTTTTTTTTTTTTAAATCATATTTCCGGTTATTTGTCAAAGAATAGTTTTCATCATATAGAATATGGATCAGAATTGCAGAAATCAGTTAATTTAATATGTTCGGTGCTTTGGACGGTGGTAAATTTTATTAGTTGTTCCGGAGTCTTCAGATTATATTAGTTGTACATGAATTCAATTAGCTATTCATGGGCCTTCAGATTCTGTTGGTTGTCTGTAATCTTCAGATTCTGTTAGTTGTTCTGTTTCGCTTTTTAAACGATTACTGATTTCAATTATTTCTTGGTTTCTTTTCATTTTGTTTGGAATTTTCGCATTGTATCGCGATAAATCGAACCCCGATAAAATACACTGTAGACTAAAAATCTGTCAAACTATTGGTAATTTCTCCTCATTTTCTTCTGATCCTTCAATGCCAAAGGAAATCATTACAGAATGTGCAGCTGGGTAAAACAGAAACAAACTCCGTCGGCCAATTTGGGAGTAAATTCCGTGAACATCTTGGTCAATGGAGATTGAATAAGCGTGGTGTGGAGGGTGAGACAATAATACATCTGTTACTGAATCGGGAAGAGCCAATGTGTAGTGAAATTGCTAGAATTTTGATAACACGTTATCCAGGCCTTGCTAATGACATTTACCTCGGCGACGAAATGTTCGGTAAGAATACAACAGCAAAGTTAAATTCGATTTAAAAAAATTCCTTTCCACTGAATATACCCAACTAATCGTTTTTTGGCATTAATAATTTTCAATTTTTTTCTTAAGTTTTCTGGCAGTTAATTTTTTTATCAAATCCAGCACTAAATTATGAGGAAATTTAAACAAATTTATGCTTTTTCATAATTTCATATAAAGTTGATTCAACTACACTGAATCTTAAAAGCCGATATTTCAGGTCAAAGTGCATTACATCTAGCAATTGTTCATGATGATTATGAAACCGTCCATTTATTATTGCAAAACTCAGCAGAAGTAAATGCCCGAGCTTGCGGAACATTTTTTCTGCCTGAAAATCAAAAAACATCCCGCAAATCAACTGATTACCAAGGTAGCTATTGTTTCAGGCCTAGTTATAAAAAAAGTTTTTATGCAGTAATACTCAAATAATATAATTCCAACCCTTATATTTAGATTTCAATTCGGATTTCAGGATATGCTTATTATGGTGAATATCCGTTAGCATTTGCTGCTTGTTTCGGCAACAAAGATATCTATGATTTATTGATACAGTATGGCGCAGATCCAAATCTCCAAGATATGTTCGGCAATACCATTCTACATATGTGTGTCATCAACTACAGCAATGTAAAATGAATTTTTCAATATTCACAAAAATCTTTATATTTATATCGTTAGCAGGTTGCAAAAGTCAATAAGATATTACCTTAGCGCTGTTTTCATAATGCAGAAAGTTATTGACATTGGCGTATTATAGTCAATGTACAGTTACGCAGTGAGGCATTGGGCAAAACCGGCGGATCCAAACATTGTGAATGCAGCTGGCTTGACACCATTAACGCTTGCGACAAAGCTTGGACGAAAGGATATCTTTGAAGAGATGCTGGAGTTGATGAAAGTCGTATGTGCTTTTACGGTTACACAGAACTAATGATGTTTAATTTTTTCAGTTTTGAATTGGGAATTTGTATATTTCAGGAATTTTGGCGGTTTAGTGATATGACGTGTAGTGCATATCCTCTTACAGCCTTAGACACTATTCGTCCTGATGGCTCAACAAGTTAGCATTTTACTATTAATCATTTGATAAAAGTTGTCATACATACATTGACTCTAGTTAATTTATTTATAAAAAAATTAAACTTTAGATAGAACCAATTTTTATTTAATCTGCCTGGTGATTAAGCCATTAATGACTTCATCCTATCTCAGATGACAAAATTTCTTTGTTTTCTTATAAGTTAGGGTTCGATTTTGCAGAGAATGGTAATGAAATGCATGCTAAATGTTTTTACATTTATTATCGTTGTTAATTTTAAATTTTAATTACAGATTATGATTCAGCGTTGATGACCGTGATAAATGGTAGTACTAGTGAACATTTAGATATGATTGGGAGCGAAGTGATCCAGCGTCTTCTTGCTGATAAGTGGAAAGCTTTTGCATCAGTATGCTTTTTCAAATCATTACTAATTAGACTGTCATATTGTGATTATTATTTAGAATATTAATATTCAACCTTGTCTAATGAGAAGATACATTATCTTTGACATTCAATGCAAATAATTTATTAATTACAGAGAAAATTATTTGAAAGACTTGGATTGCTCATTTTGCATCTCATATTTTTATGTTTTGTTGTTTATATGCGACCGCCTGAACCGGAGCGACTTACTTATAAATTAATTGCAACAGAATGGAATGACTGGGTATATGGTTTTCATTTTCACCGCTTTACATTTTTGAAAGAGCATTTTTCGTTCTTTTTTGTTTAATATTTCTTTCAGAAAAAGCCAATTTAATCACCTTATTGTTAAAAATGTATGGTAACTATTAAGCAGTATCAGAGTACGTGAGAAATTTTATCTGAGAAAATTCAAGTAAGCGAAGAATACACTGCTATACGTTAACTAGTAGAGGCCTGGTAATCGATAAACTAAAAGCGGTTAGATTAAACAGAATTTATAGTGGTTAACTATGAGCCTTCCTTATACCAATGCATGACCATATTCGGTATGCTGGTGCAACGTTACTAGAAGGTGCTCTGCAGTGCATAACTGGATCTTTCCGGCGTTCTTGGTAATTCACTATTTAATTTCTTGCAGGTGCGATTATTCTTTGAAATTTCAACAATAGCGAGTTGTGTGTTCTTTGTTTTCTTTCAACAGTTTAGCGAACTAAGAACGCAAGGATTTTATGGATATATCAGAAATTTGGTAAACTTTTCTTGTATCAAAAGTTCCATCTTTGATTCTTTTGCCGTCTTTTTTTTCTTTTTGTCATTTATACTATTCCTAATTATTCATTGTATTCATTACAGAAAACAGCCCCAGCTAAAATTGTATTTCTTGGTGCCAATATATGTATTCTTATGTGTGTACCTTTTCGTATATCGGGCAATGTTCAAGTTGAAGAAGCTTTATTAGTCTTTTCATTACCGGGTTCTTGGATATTTTTTCTTTTCTTTGCCAGGTCAATAACTTTTCTCAAACTAAATTTCAAGTATTTTGACTTTAAAGTAGACTTTGTTGTGAACAGAGTTTAATGAATTTGAAATTAATGGAAATACACTAGTATTTATTCTTTAGCATGCATTTTGCACGTAGATTAATTGCGCGCAACTTATCTCCAAATAAAAAACTGCTTGCAGAAGTGCCAAATTAACGGGACCATTTGTGCAAATGATTTATAGTATGATTGCTGGTGATATGATTCGCTTTGCTATCATTTCCGCTATATTTCTTGTCTCATTTTCACAAGGTCCTGTTTACACTTTTTTTTTAATGCACTTCATCTATCGACTACTTAGATGTCAATGGAAGCTGAGCACAATCATTTTTCCGAAAAGCAACTTGCGAATTACAGATTTATTCCATGTCTTAGTGAGGCTTTAGTGGTTGAGATTTGGTGGAATTCCGTAACTAACTAACTATTGATACTATCTTCTTGATATGCGAATTATATTCTTCCGTTTCAGTATTTTATTTTCTGGGAAAAGATATGCACGCGAAGCAAGAGCTCAGTCCATTAAATCCAGATCACTGTGAAGTAAAAGGCTACGATATATTCACATATTCTTCTTTTCTGGAAACATTTATTACACTGTTTCGTGCCAGTATGGGTGGCTATGATGTAAGCTTTTTGACATAATTTTCCAAAATTTCAAAACAACGATATTTCTATTTCGAATATGACATAAATAATCTTTTATTTCAGTATGAGGAATTTTCGTGCGCTAACTATGAAGTGTTAACAAAGATATTATTTGTACTTTATATGTTTATAATGCCCATAATGTTGATTAATATACTTATCGCCATGATGGGTAATACTTATACAACAGTTATCGCACAAGCTGAAAAAGCTTGGAGGCAACAGGTTAACTGTTTTTTATAGAAAAAACATGAATATTTGAAAATTTCCAAAAGTAAAATGAACATGAAAAACCGTGTAGTGTCACTTTCATTGGAATCTTCTTGACCCTTCGATACGATATAAGAATAATAGTTATTAAGTACTAATAAGGCGTTGTTAAATGTTGATTGGTTAACACCAGGTGAATTAAATCATTGATAATCCACCTTTCCGATCTAAAAAATAGAATGCTTGTTAACCAGTATTTTGAGTTTATTATAAGAAGTCCATGTTTAATATGCTCTGCATGCATTCATGCGTTGTAGAGTCCGCACTATAGTGAATGACAGTATTTTTCAGTATGCACAAATTGTAATGGTACTGGAACGATCAGTGAAAAAGGAGAAACTAGCAGCGTGTCAATTAGAATACAGTATTAGACTTAATGAAGCCAATGATGCTGGTATGGAAATACGTGGCCTAATGGTCATCAAACAGACAAAGAAAACTCGAGCCAGGCAGAGGAAACAAGCTATTACTAACTGGAAGGTTGTTCAATATTTCTTTGTCAATTTCTTGGTTTGATGGTGTTAATTAACCGTGTGAGTCATTTACTTCTTTGTTACTTAATTTTAATATATCAGAGACTTTGTGTTTTCGCCTAAATTTCATTATAATGCAGACAATTGGTCGAAAAGTAATTCATACCGTGGAAAGGTTAGGTGTTGATTACGCACAGGAATTGCTTCATTCATACAATTGTTTAATTGATGAGCCAGCTAGTGCTGTAATATTTAGGCGAGATGCCGCGTTACCACCACCAACAAGGTCTATGGTAAGTCCTGTAAACATTTTAGTATTAATATTTTGAAATTATTTTTTCCATTTAGAAGTGAATATTTGAGCATTAGATTATACAAATAATGGACATTTTCCACTTGATAATTATTATCAGTAATAATTTACTTTTTTCTATATAAGACAAGATCACGAATTCATGAAACTCCAACAAATACGAAAAATGAAGAAAAAATCGAACAATTAAGTGATGGCTCAATCGAGAAAGAA